CACTATCCTTCGAGGAAAAGAGTCACTTCATGGTACTTGTAGCAGAAAACCTACACAATCTGATTCAATATTTTTAATGAAACTGTATTAGCTTTTTAATGCATTTTGTTCTCTCTACTTCTATTTAAAAGCTGTTATTAATGGAGCTTATAAAATGCTGAGGCTCAGAGCAGAGATAAACAGTGACACTGTAAGGAGAACTCAAAGCCCAGAGGTTAACCAACTTCAAATCATCTGTGAATGATGATTTGCATGCCAAGCCCCTCATCTCATAAACAAAGCCAAACTGATCAGTGAAAGAAAAACACATAGCTGTCTGCAGTGAGTTCCACCTACAATTAACTAGAACACTACCATTTTAGAGCTACAGGTACATATACTAAAAGCAAAATATCAACGACTAACAAAACTGAGGAAGGGGAGAAATCAGATCTTATTAGAAAAACCCTCTTTTAGAATTAAGTAGAAAAGCAATTCTCATTTATTAAGGAATGCTGTAAACTGCTACTTCTACCTCAAAAAATGTCTTAAAGATACTTCTTTGAATTAAGAACTTCTCACTTCACACTCCCTGGAGAAGGAATGGCAGTGCACTCCAGTATTCTTGCCTGGAGAATTCCATGGACAGAGAAGCCTGGTGGACTACAGTACATGGGGTCACAAAAAGTCGGGCACGACTGAGTGACTAACAGACACTCCACATTTGAAAATACTGAGCAGCAAAGTCATGGGAGCACAGTCTCTCTGGGTAATGTGCTGCACAGGATACGACCAACTGGAGACCAAGCAAAAGGGCAACACCGAGCTGCGTGCCTTTCAGCACATCACTGAACTCAGCTGTTCTGAGCACCAGGCTGCCCCTCTGTCAAATGAGAGAGTGGTGTCAGTCTCAGAGGACTGCTGTGATGAGACGGAGCTTGTATAAATATTTATCCAAGTAACGCACTGGACTTCTTTCAATTATTAGAAGCACATCCTTCTTTCCACCCTACACATACATTTGAAATCAGGCTTCATTTCTTAAATGACATTAGATGCTCCTCATTCATCTCCTTCCCACAACTAAATAAGAAGACTGTAATTCAAGTAAAGATTATACCTAATTGTCAAAGGTATGTTTTAAAATGAAGGAATCAGCCTAAACATATTAATTTCCTTTTTTTCTCTGCCGTTCAGGCACCCTACCATGGTGAGTACAGTTAACCTTTGGTGTCCAAAATGATCTTCTCCTTTATATAACATTTAACACTCCTTACTATAACATTTAACAACTGTCTCTTCATTTTTCTAACGAAAATTATCTCAGAGCCCCACTAAGTTGTGAAAGATACTGAACTAATAAGGCACTAATGGGGACAATCCCAAAGTCATGGAGCTGATGTATAAATTTAACAGATTCCTTTAGTATCCTAGTGCTAAGAGAGTCAATAACTCAGGACATTTTTGTGTCTACTGTTAAACCTGAAGAGACAATAGCATAAAATAAGACTACTCCAGACAAACTTGCATATGTGATCACAATTCTCACTATCTACAAACAGGATGTACACAAATGATCTTTTGCTTCAGAAGGAGAATAAAAGTACTTTGTTACCTTTTTTTGTTAAAAGAAAGAAAGAGGGGCTTCTCCAGGAATCCAGCCTGCAATGCAAGGGACACGGGCTCCATCCCTGATCCGGGAAGATTCCCCATGCCAGGGAGCAACTGAGCCCATGAGCCACACTACTGAGCGCAGGAGCTGCAACTACCGAGGCCCGAGTGCCAAGCGCCTGTGCTCCCCAACGAGAGAAGCCACTGCAAGGAAAAGGAGCCCTGCTCCCCAAAACTAGCGAGAGCCCACGTACAGCAATGGGGAGCCACCACAGCCAATGAATAAATAAATAAATCTTAAAAGGAAAGAAGGAAAAGGGGCTGGGGGCGGGGGGAGGGAAGAAAAAGCAAGTGAGCACACCTAGGGCCCAGATCGTACTTTCTAACACCACTTTCCAATAAAAGAAAACTGGCTCCCTGAGACATGGATGATGATTCCAGGACTGCGGTGGGAAGTATCAAGATGAGCGTGGAGCATCTTGCAGTGATAAAGAGGAAGGAAGAGTGTCTAAACAAAAAACAGACAAAAAACAACAACAACAAAACACCATAATGGGAGTATGTCAAAGGGACACAAGATCTGACGAAAGAACTCCCAATCTGAAACAACTTTAGCAACAAAGTAATACTGTGTTGTAATATATAAAATAAATAACCATGAATCTACACCAATACAAATAAATAACTGCATAACTCAATAAATGAGGCAGAAGAGACAAATCTCTCATGCAAAAGAAATAAAAAGTGTTCCACTCTACCTGGGCTCCTCAAGCATGGACTGTGCATAGTTACTTCCTTTCAAAGAGTACACTGTAAGGATAAGAAGGGGTAAAACAGAGTATTCTATAGTGACAGGACCTATCACTACCTGAACCAAGAGATTACGGTCAACACTGACAGTGACACGCTATGTTGACAGTACGTACCACCTTTGATACGATGTGATGAAAATGGTTCTTCATCTCTGTGGTCTAACACATAGCCCCAGTCTAATAATTGGGTAAAACATCAAACATTCTGCAAAGTATCTGACCGTGCATGTGTGCTAAATCACTTCAGTCACATTCAACTCTGTGCAACCCCACAGACTGGAGCCCGCCAGGCTGCTCTGTCCATAGGATTCTCCAGGCAAGAATGCTGGAGTAGGTTGCCATGCCCTCCTCCAGGGGATCTTCCTGACCCAGGGATCAAATCCATGTCTCTAACATGTCCTGCATTCGCAGGCAGGTTCTTTACCACTAGTGCCAGAAAGAAAGAAAAGAAAGTAAGTCTCATCAAAAAGAAAGTCTGAAAACCTGTCATAGCCAAGAAGTGCCTCAAGAGACATGGCTATGTGATATGGACCATGATCTGAATAAAGCACTGACTTTATTTAATAATAATGTATCAACATTGGTTCATTAATTTTACCAAATATACCATACTAATGCATTATAGGATATTAATAACAGGGGAAACTGGATGTCAAATGTATGGGAACTCTATAGTATCATTGCAATTTTTCTGTATATCTAAACCTGTTCTAAAATTAAAACTTTACTCAAAATAAGAAATTAAAATATTTAACATACAGTTTAACATTCAATTCAGTTCAGTCGTTCAGTCATGTCCAACTCTTTGCGACCCCATGGACGGCAGCACGCCAGGCCTCCCTGTCCATCACCAACTCCTAGAGTTTACTCAAGCTCATGTCCATTGAGTCAGTGATGCCATCCAACCACCTCATCCTCTATTGTCCCCTTCTCCTCCTGCCTTGACCCCTATTTTTCCCAATGTAAACCACTCCTACATACACACAACACTCTGAGGAAACAAAGAGAAGCTGATAGTGGATGCCTTCTCTCAGCTTCCTACAATGCACTGCATTTCACATGTGTGCCCAGGAATTTAACAAAATTTAATGGAACCATAAGGAATTTAAGCAAACTAAATCTCACAAGAACACACAAATGGTTTAACATATTTTAGGCAAGAAATAGCAGATAGAATATAACATTAATAATGTAAGTATAGGCTAGAAATAAAAGCAGTATTTCTCCCATTCCTAATATGAGTTCTTTATCAGTCACATGAGGTTTAAAATGATAGTTTTTTAACTAATAAAAGCTGATTAGAAGTAAGCCAAAAAACTTCAAAATTATCAAGAGGCCCAGAGGCCCTTAATGCACTTTTAATGTAATGAATAAACCAAAGTTAGATACATATATCAAATGTGTATTTTTAAATAGTAATAAATTAATGAAAGGTAATAGCAGATTGATATCCACTATTATTAATGATGAGCCCTACCCCAAATGTATGCTATGCTTCAAGATAACAGTTAATGATATTATGAAGCCTTTTTAATCAGCACAACATATATTCAGATTCTAAATATAAACCTTTATCATTTGTAGTGATGTTTAAAGTTTTGCTATACCCTATTTAGTATTTTGTGACATTTCACAAAAGATAAGGCAAATATGCAGAAGCCTTTAAAGATGCTTCTATTCAGTCTGTTTGCATCTGTTGGATTCTAGGTCTGAAAATGAAATACTTGAAAAAGACACATTCTCAACATATTCTCAAGAGCAAATGACATCATTAAAGAAAACGAGGTTTTGACTAAAGCTGTGAAAGTGTAACCACTGAGAAGGCCATTTGATCAGAATGAAAAGATTCTGACATAAGGCTTAAAGGTTATCACCACATATGAAATTATTTTCCCCTTCGTTCATAGACAAGCAGTAGTAGAAAAGCAGATGAATCCAAAAATGTACAAAGTACTACAGGATATCACCAATATGGCTCATTTCATAACAACAAGATCTTCAACAAATAGAGGAATACTTATAAACTACAATAAGATATGTAGCAACTACAGCACAGTATTTAAGTGACTTAGCTCCAGAACTGGACTACATGAGCAGGAATACTGACAATAAGATTTATTAGCTATGAGACCTTGGACATGTTATTTAATCTCTCTTTGAGTTACTGTCATCTGTAAAATGGTGGTAATAATAATTTCTACCTTAACATAGTTGGTGGAAGTATTATAAGAGATATTTCACTAAAGTACTTGGAACAACATTTGGCACATGGTAGGCACTCAATAAATATTAGTTATGACTGGGAGTAAAGCATTATGGGAGTATTCATGAAAATCTTTTATATCACTACAGAATTCATTAATTATCTTTTGGCAAAGAACTTAGAAGACATCAAACTCAGAAATGAAATATATGTGTTTTTTTTCTTTTTTATAGATAAGTAAGAATAGCCTGTTCTAGGATATTAAATACAGATTCAGGTCTTTGACAATACTCCATCAATGTCTCCTGCCTAATTAGTTAAAAGTTAAATTGATAGTGTGGCCACAAACAACTGATCGCAAATACTTCACTAGGACTTAGGAACAGTATACATACCCTCAAATCAGGAGAAAAGTTCTCTGCAGAAGTTGATATGGAATCCGATGAGACGACAGAAGCTGATTTTGTATGCACTGAATTCTCTGAATGAGAAGTGGAAGCACTAAAAGATACAAAAGCACAGGACATTTGAAAAATGGGAGTGTTAAAAATTCAGAAATTTTATTTTATTAAAACTTCTACTGCCAACCAGTCCAATATTGCCTATTCAATCTTATCTCTAAATACTGATAAATTGCAAGCTCTTATTCCTAAGAAGAGGGCTAAGTATTCTTACCATCCACATTCCCTCCAGACAGGCTTCCCCAGTATTTATGAATACATTCGAGGTTAATTCTTTCTTTTTATCTAACCATCCAATTATCTAACCACTCAATTATCAGGCCAATGTGCAAAAAACCATTACACCAGGCACTATGATTTGGAGACAAATCGGACAAAGCTCATAAAGCTCACAGCTTGTGGAAGAGACAGACAGATAAACAGCGCAATGTGGTAACTCTAACTATACACACACATACACCCCCTAGGTGGATGGAGAGCAGAGAGACAGACGGAGAAGCACCATGACTATGAATCTGGAAAAAGGAAAAGAAAGTACCTAACTCTACCCAGGAAAGTTCAGGTAAGACATCACAGGGCAGGTGGTATCTGAACTGAATCTAGAAAGACAAGAAATTGCCAGGCTGACAAAGCAAGGGAATTCCAAAAACAAACAAAAAACACTACAAGTATAGAATTATCAAAGAGCATAGAACACTTAAGAAACTACAAATAGTCTGACAGGGCTAGATGAGCAGAAGGGGAAAAGATAATGATGGAAAGACTAGCCTGTCCTTGTAACTTTCCCCAACCAAATTGGGTGTTTTTTAACAAGCCTGTCTTAAATATCCATTGTTTCCATTACTCTTAAGTAATCACACTCAATTCTCTTAAATTCTCATAGAACTTTTGATGCCTGATCGCATACTGCCTTTTACTATTTATTGGTCTCAAGTATGTAAATGTTGCCTCACCAATTAAAATTTCAATGTCCCAAGAAGAAAGACTGTGTCTTTATTTTCTATAAAATCTACTTCAGTGCCTTTGTATATAGTTAACATGTATTATGTTTATTAAATTCAAAAATACAGTGACAATAAACCGATGCCACAAACTGAATGATTTACATCATTTCCTTTTATCAGTAGAAGAAACTTAAAATTATTTAAGGAAGAAAAATCAATGGTAGGAAAATCTCAGACATTTTGAACTGAAACTTAAAGTTCTGACTAAGAAATATATTTTTCTAAAGCTTCACTCCCAACATATTAAAAGTCTACTTCACACAAAAAGTCAAGATTCTGATGGAATAATCCACCTTGAGGTTGTGATATTTAGAAACCACATTTTTGTTTTAAAATTTGTCTACCATAATACCTGCATGTAGTGACTACTAAATTATGTTTACAATGTAAAAATCATCTCCCCTCTAATAACTGTCAGTTCATTTTTATTGAGGTTTGGATACTAAAAAAACTATATATATTTTAGGTGTACAATATGATATTCTGATATATGTATTCACTATGAAATGATCACCACAATAAAGCTCATTGAGACACCATCACATCACACACTTTACCTTTCTTTTTGTGGTGAGACAAATTTGAGATCTACCATCTTGGCAATTTCAAGTATACAATATTATTAAACTATAGTCACTATGCTCTCTATACTAGGTACCCAGACGTAATTTATATCTGAAAATTTGTCCCTTTTGATAAAATTTTTCCCCCTTATCAGACAGGATTTTAAAACATTTTCTCTCACTCTGTAGGTCACTTTGATGTAGTCCTAATAGTTTGTTTTTGCTTTTGTTACCTGCCCTAACGGTGGCAAATCCGAGAAACCATTCTCAAGACCAGCACACCAAAGAGCTTTTCCCCAATGTTTTCCTTCAGGAGTTTTACAGACTCAGGCCTTACTTTTAAATGCTTAATCCATTTTGGTTGATTTCTGTGTATGATTTAATCTAAGGGTCCAATTTCACCCTTCTGCATATGGATACCCATTTTCATCAACACTATTCATTGAAGAGTCTATCATAATTTCCCTACTGTTCATTCCTGCTGCTGTTTTCAAAGACAGACTGACTGTATACACAAACAGTCCTACTTCTGGGCTCTCCAATCCGTTCTGCTGTCCACTGTTTTGCTAACCACAGCCTCACAATACAGTCTGAGGACAGGAAGTATGACGCCTCCAGCTCTGTCCTTTGTGCTCAAGACTGCATTAGCCATTTGGGGTTTTTCATGGCTCCATACTGACCTCAAGATTGTTTTTTCTATCTGTGTAAAATGCCATTAGAATTTTTATGTAGCATGTGTTGAATCTGTAAATCACTCTGGGCAATAATGACATTTTAACAAGATTAATTTTACCAATTCATTAACACAGGATAACTTTCTATCAAATTGTGTCTTTTTCAATTTCTTCCATCATCGTTTTATAGTTTTCTTCATACAGGTCTTTAACTTCCTTGGATAATTATATTCCTTAGTATTGTATTTTTTTTTTTATGCTATTGCAATGAATTTGTTTCCTTAATGTCTTTTTACGAAAATGCATTATTACTATATAGAAACAACTGACTTCTGCATGTTGATTTTGTATCCTGCTACTTTCCTGAATGTATTAGTTTTTTGTACAGTTTTTTACAACGTTGCATGCATGAAGTCATGTTATCTACGTTTTTATATATTTATACAATGTGAAAATCATCTCCCTCAAAATAATCACTTCATTTAAATTAATGAAAATGGCATATCACTGGGAACACTTCAAAAAGTTTTTCTTCAAATACAAACATCTCTTTATCAACTATTTCAAAGTATAATTGTGGTTAATTGTTTTTGTGTCCAAGAATCTACAATATGACAAGGGAACAGTCATAAGAATTCTAATATCTAGCTTTATAGTACAAGGAAAGATAAATTGATAGGCTGAGAATGATTTCTTTTTTTCTGTACCAATTTATAATTAAAATAAAACTAAACATAACATTAAAATAACAAGTAAAACAATAAAAATTTAGGCACAGTACTCTGACAAATATTGTTTGCTGCCTACTCCATATATATACACATTCCTTTCTTTCCCGATCTGCATGAGGACAGTTACGGTGAGCCCACAATGACATGCTTGCTTTTGGTTCTTTCATGTCACATTGAGACAATGTGACACAAAATTGGTCAGTGAAATTTAAGGGGAAGTCTGTTCCATTGTTTTGGAAGCCTTTTATTGTCTTAATAAAGAGGAGTAGAAATAGCAAGGCACGTCTTAACCTTTCCCACTTTCGCTTGCCTGGACCAAGAGTCCTGTAAACAGGAGCAAGTGTTGGCCTACGTAGGACACCAAAGAGCATAAAGTCCTTTCCTGGTGAGCAGCTGAATCCACCCCAACAACTCCCTACTTTGGGAGTCTTGGTTATGTAAAATAAATGAAGTTCAATTTTTAAAATCACTGTAATGGAATCTTCTATTCTGTACAGCCAAACACAACTCTAAGTGTTACAGCAATCAACACTTTACAAAGTCTATTTTGAACAAGGTGAAATGTATAATACTATTTTTTATGTGTATGACCTGAGAAAACAGAAAAATATGTAAAGGCAACAAAATACAACTTGGAATTAGGGTAGTATAGACCTAGAAAAAACAGTATCAATAGGAATATTAGAGTATGTCTCATTAAGACACCAAATAGTTCTTTAGAGCCAAAGTATGAAGTAAACAAATCTAAGGGAAAATAAACAAAACCAGGTCTTGCAACTAGTACCTTGCAGTCTCAAAGAATCAGTCTTTCAAGCAGAAGTGTGGAAAACAGCCTTTAATTATTAACTTCTCTTTTCAGATACACATAAATATAGATAGATATTATGATCTACAACATATGTGAATAAGCACTAGAAGGTTTTAAGCTCCAGGCAAGCTACGAGGGACTGGAGGGGACACCCGTGTGGCTATATCTAGTATTGTTCTTGTGATTATAGCAAACACACACACACACATACCACTACCACCAACCACCACAATTACTGAAAGTTCTGGTATAAACATGCAGTGGCTACTCAAGACTGAAGGTGGCTATAGAATGCAGAGCTCTATTTTCAATAGTTATTTTTCTCCTGTCATATGGGCTTTGTACATGCTTCTGGATCACCATGGATACTAGGACAATATAACTTAATTTCCACTGTTCTTTTCCATTTCTCCACTGCTCATCTTGAGGTCAAGCTCTCTATGTTTACCTTCTATGAACTGTTCCATAAATAAGCTTTGTATTTCCCTGAATTCATACCATTGCTCATGCAACTCCAAAACAGAATGCCCATTTATCTTCCCTGGTTGTTCAGACGGTAAACAGTCTGCCTGCAGTGTGGGAGGCCCAGGTTCGATCCCTGGGTCAGACATCCCTGAGTCAGGAAGGTCTGGAGAAGGAAATGGCAATCCACTCCAGTCTTCTTGCCTGGAAAATCCCATGGACAGAGGAGCACGGCAGACACAGTCCATGGGGTCGCAAAGAGTCAAACTAATTCTCTTTCTATTTATTAACGTCCTATTGTTACTTACTCTTTTAAGACCTAGTTAAAAGGCCGATTTTTTCAGGAAGTCTTCCCAGGTGATCCAGTGGCATAAAACTCAGTCATCTGTACTTCTGCCTATGCTCTATAATGGCATTTAAATCTTTCCACATTAGACTAGAGCACTTTAGTTACACTGCCTCCTCCTTTTAAATGATAAACTGCTAGAGAATAAGAATCTTATAATTGGCAAGGCATCTGAACTCTGAGCAAAGACTGCAGTCTGCTAACCTCATTAAGTGTGGAGAAGGGAATGGCACCCCACTCCAGTCTTCTTGCCCAGAGAATCCCACGGACAGAGGAGACTGGTGGGGACAGTCCACGGGGTCTCAGAGTCAAACACGACTCAGCGACTAAACAACAACAATCTCACTAAGTAACCAACGCTGCTTTGGTCCTCAGTTTCCCTAGGCCCATAAACTTCACCACGCAAACTTTAATCCAAACATTCTTGTTACCCTTGTCATCCTGAACCTCTT